TAGAAGCAATAATGTAGTCGTGAATGAAGCAAGATGATGGTGAGCTAACTTTCATTCTGTATCACTGTATCACTATTGTTATTCACAGCACGCCCTTCATTGCTGTTGGAATTCATCTGTATTGCCATCGCGATGTTGGTGAGGACGATGTTGCGGCCGATGGTGGTGCTGGTGGTGGTTACGGAAAATATGATGATAACGACGAATACGAGGAACCTACGAAGAAGCTGACAAGACGACGAGGACGATGATAATAATAGTCAGTGGCAATGATGAGGAAGCGCAGAAAGAGCGGGAGGAGGAGGACACTCCCGGCAACAAAAACCAAGCCATGGTTTCCCAAGCTGTAGGGCGCCCGGCGCAAATGCCGGACCCAAAAGGGTGAGTGTCCCCGTCCATGCACGGAGTGAGGAATCTGCCAGCGCTTTTGAGTAAGAGAACCTTGGACAAGCGCTTGGGTCCTCACCGTCCTAGTGGCATGGGGCGGGAACATCGGGCCGCATTCAATATGACGGAACCAGGCTGCGGACAAGCAGAATGCGGCGCCCAAGTTGGAGAGCACGGCCAAGGAGATCAACCCGAAGAGCGGGAAGCTGCGCAGCTGTTCAAGCTTTAATGCAAAAACAGCATGCTCAAAATGAAGGAAGCTCCTCGTGTGGCAGACAGTTCAGGAATCTATCGGCCAAGCAAGATGTGAAAGAAACTGATGCAGCGCGTAGGCTTACTCTTTGACAGATCTGAGGTCAGTCTCCGCACATGTACTTAACGATTCCGGATTCCACACGCGGTGCTAAGGCACGATCGGGGCGCCTTGCCATGTATGTCCGTGACATCACGTCGCAGGCCGATGGGTTCAGCACACAGGCATTGCCCTGTCCAAGTCCAGATTGGAGCACGAAATGAGGTCGTTCTGAAGGTTGAAATGCTGAATGCAAGACTGGGGTCATGAGCTCCTGACTCAGACTTAGGAATACTTCGTGGCTTGAGGTGACAATCACATGAAGTTGAGGAGGACCTGCTCTTAGTAATATCTTTCCTGAGACAGGCTCTGCGAGTAGCAGCAGTAATGGTAGTAGCAGCAGCAGTAGCAGTAGTAAGGAGGAGGAGTAGAAGTAGTAGTAGAAGAAGTATCAGCAAGGGTGAAAGAAGAGAATAGTCTTTGGCCTTTCTTCGCAGTTTGTCTCGATGGCCCCGGTGGCTTTCATCACTCTCTTGCTTTGCGACTGTCGAAGGCTGCAATGAACCTGGCAACGTGCCCTGCCTGGGACGTCTGAAGGTCAAAGACGCCGTCCCACTTCATGATTTTCTGGCATGCAGGGCAGACTGCGAGATGGGTCTACGTTGTCTACATGGCAAAGAAAAAACTGGCACGAAGTGAGCACCCAGTGACATAAACGCGAAGCATGCGGATGCACCCGGCAGGCTACTCTCTCCAAGACGAAGGACTTGTCGCAGGAGACGTCAATCTGCCAGTCCGGTCGCAGAGGGTGCGGGTGTTCGGCAGTCTCAGCCATTTTTCGGGAAACGCCCGCTAGACTAGACTAGACTACTGCTGCTGCACTTCGGAATCGGAATCGGGCGCCTCGATCTTGAAGAGCGATGTTTTCATGCTCACCAGGCCGATACCTGATCCCGCGAGTACAAACGGAATGGAAGGGCAGCGAAGAGCTCGGAAGAGAGAGAGAGAGAGAGAGACAAACAGAGACGGAGAGAGGCGGAGAGAGAGAGAGAGAGAGAGAGAGAGAGAGCGAGATGGCAGCAGCAGTTGAACAAAACGGACTCCCGAAATGTTTCATGGTTCTTCCGAGGACACTTTGATCTCATCTGAACTTGGGGGCAGGCCCAAGCCGGTGAATTCCTTGACACCTTGAGGCAACACAGTGCCAGGTGTCGGATAGCCAGTCCGGGAATGCTCTGTCCATGTGCTACTACAAGCCGATGCTTCCCCGGGCGACTGGCCCCACGATGGTCCGACCATGGTGAGACCCTAGGCAACACTGCAAGCTACTTCGCATCTTCCCGAACAGCCCTTTCATTTCTCGGGCATCCTCCAGCCGAGGACCAAGCAAGCAGGATACCGAGGCCAATCAAAGCGGCGGACCTGTTCTGGACTGTCTCACGGTCTCATGATGCCACAGCGACAACACATTGACATGGCCCACAAGCGGTACTGGCCAAGAAGCATGAACATCAAGAAATTCTCCTTATCCGACTTGGCCTGCTTCCTTAGCAAGATCCCAGAGCCCAGCCAGGTAAAAACCAGTAAAAAATGCACCAGATAATCTTAAAGCACCATGCTTGCGTAGGCTGATTTCTACGAGTTAAGTACAACATATCAAGGCCGAGAAACGTCTGAGCCTCGCGGACCCTCTCAAGGCGCTGACCTGAGGCAGCTAAGCCCTGGCGTCGATTTAAACAGACAAGCAGGCAAGCATTGCACGGATCTTTGCTTGACATTTCGGAAAGCCCGAGTCCGCAGCGCTTCTCTTGTTCCTTCTGCAACTTCTTTTGTTGCTTGGCATACTGTGGATCTTGTGCCACGGCCTGCATGCAACGTAACTATCGTTCACCTCAAGAAGTTAATCAACATCTCACCCCAGAATGTAGCTAGAACCCCATCCGAACCGACAAGAGTCCTTTACTGATCGCAGAATAGCTTCCTGGTATTACTCGCATACGATGTGGGTGGAGAAACACGGCTCCTACCGCGAGAAGGGGCACCCACATCTTTGCGTGGCGGGGGTTGGCGGGGTTTGTCTCAAGATGAAACGGCACTGACTAGGCTAAGTTGGTCGAGCTTCATTGATTCATCAGGTCGGGTATTGCTAACAATTGCCTCTCTGGATTTCTGAAGCACTGTTAGGAGTGAATTGCGGGAAGAGCAGGCCTGGCCGCCATATCCTTGCCTCGTTGCAGAGTGGATGCCGCACACCATGTGACAGAAGGCGACCGATCCGTTCCGTGCCCGCATCAGCAGAAGGAAGGACCCATTCGATTTCAGCGCTGCTCTGAGGTTTGGGCGCTGCATATGACATCGCGGCCTGCTGGTCGCCATATCCTTGCCTCAATGCAGAATGGATGCTATCCATCTTGGCAGGGAAGGCCACTGATGTGTTGTGTGCCTGTGCGACCAGAAGGAGCTCTTCGATTTCAGCACTGCTCTAAGGTTCGGGCGCTGCATATGACATCGCGGCCTGCTGGTCACCGTATCCTTGCCTCAATGCACGGAGCGGATGCCATACATCAGATGCGGGAGGGCGACTGATCCGTCCCTCGCACACGAAAAAGCTAAGCAGAAGGAGCCATGTGATTTCAGCCTAACTCCAAGATGCAGGCGCTGCATATGGCATGGCTGCCGGCTGGTATCCTTGCTGCCTGGGCCGCTAAAATACGGGACAAGGCATGCGTTGTGAAAGCCAGCGGTTTTCTCCCCAAGCACAGGATAAGGACCCGAGCAGAAGTGGCTGCTGGAAAGCTTGCCTCAACTCGGAGACTGCAGTGACGCTCCGACCAACCTCTCTCTCGCGTCTGTCTGGGGCTTATGCTGTGCCATTGGGTCTGCGTAGGGGGCAGCCATGTTGAAGAGAATTGCTGAAAGCAAAGCGGCAAGACCTGGTCAGAACACACGCCTGTGCTCAGCCTATTCTGACTCCTGTATCCATCATAGTGCTCTCGGCAGCTAAGTGAGCACAGGTGGGCAGGAAGACTTGCCTGAAGTAGAACGTGTGAACCGCAGGCTCACAATACAGATGGAATGGCTGAGATCCACCCGGCAGCGGCAAGCACATGTCACAGGCACTTCAGCCTAAGCTTTGCGCGCAGCACGATCGCTCTTTCTTCAACCCACTATACACATGTAGAAGTACAAAATGCAGTATTCCGAAGTACCTGTTTGTATCATATGTTCGGATTGTGGTTTAGCAAGCATCAAACTGCACCCCAACCCCCGAGAAATGCGAAATTCAGCCGAGCATTGAACTAGTCGGACTCTCGTCGGCGCGTGTGCTTTCTTGCTGGAGGTCCGCGCGGAACAATCAGTGCTAACGATTGGACCAGCGAGTTTGCTAGCGAAATGTATCAAAGAGGCGGGTTGGACTCTACCTCAACTCATCGGTGGGGCTGGTCGAGTTTCAACGTGTGTGTGTGTGTGTTTGCATTTGTACATATTTTCAATCGTATATGTGTGTATTTGTGTATGTCGCATACATACATGCATGCATGAGGGTATGCATCTTCAGCAGCGAATCAACGGGACGCACATATGCATAGTGTGTAGTGTCTGCGTACGTGTCGCAGTGCTTTTCGTTTATGTACGTATAAACTTTTGTCTGTCTGCCTGCCTGTGTGTATGTTATTGAAACTTATGTATGTATATGTTTTGGTATATGTGTATGTGCATGTACGTAGCTATGCAATTAATTAGGCTTGTGCGTACGTGTGTGCATGCGTGCAAGGTGGCACAACTTGCACAAACATGTGTGTCCACGGCCATGCATTCTGTCCATAATATGCACAACGTGTACATGACATGCTTGTGCCTGTATGAGGTCACAGTGTCTCTGACAGTTGCTTTCTTGAGTGGTGCATGTGTGTCAGCGTCTGTGGGTGTGTGTCTATGTTTTTGAAGCAGCAGCTCGATACAGGTTTTAGATCAGGTGCGGACATATGTCTAGTCCGCGACATGACACATTTTGGAGTTGCCAAGAGGTGGCGCCTTTTGAAGCAGTGTGTTGGTGTCCGTGCCAAGAGGTGGGGGCTTTTGAAGCAGAGTCCCGCTATCCGGGTTGTGATTTCGTGCAGCGTTTCCAGAAGAATAGAGTCCACTCCATCCCAGGAGATGCTTCATGAGCGTCTCGCAATTTCACCACTGGTGCACTTAACGAAGTAGACTGGGGCAGATATTAGCGGAAAAGGCTCTCAAAAGGTCGACCGGAGAACGGCAGCATTCCAGACCCGGACAACTCCTGGGGCGGCGCTTTTCTGCGGAAAGCGCACACTCGTCAACCTCCGCTTTGCGGCTCTTCGGATGCGCCAGAATCAGCTGGTGCCGCTACCTCGTGTGTCGACTCCGCTGGGTGAGCCATCGGCACCTCCGCCGGGTGGGCAGCATGTGCCTCTGCCGGATGTGCTGCTTGAGCAGCAAGAGGATTCTGGGATTCTGCTGGGTGCGCTGCTTGTGGGGCTTCTGCTGGATGGGCCGCTGGCTGTGGCTGTGCAGGTGGCTGTGACATACCTTCGGCAGGGTGTGCTGCTGTCACGACCTCATGTGATGACACAGGCACATTCATCAAATCCAATGTCGCCGTTGCATGCTCCACTGCAGTCTTGCCATGCACTTGCTGCACCACGAGTCGACATCTGAAAAACCCTCATAAGGCCACATCACATGAGCAGGTTGGCGAGAGTGAGGGATTACACACAAGAGGCGATGTATCCATTCCAGCGACACTTCTGGGAAGTCAAACTCGGAACAACGAGTCGCTCCAAGAGCAAGCACGACCTGTCTTTGCGATCTACGAGCCACCAATGCTTAAACTCTTGTGCTTTATCATGCTCAAAGAGGAACGATCCGGTGAAAAAAAACATCTTCCCTTTTGCCCAGATAGCAGTATTCGAAAGACAAGGCTGCAACATGCTCAAGCAGCCCGAATCAACTGAGACCTCGACGGCAGCTGCTTGGGCTGGATGAGCAATGGGTAAGTGCATATGCTGCTGTTGCATGGGAGGACCCGTGAGGAGAGGTGGGGTTGGATTTGGAAGATGCGGAGCCGCGGGAGCCGAAGGGCCTGGAGCCTCTGCGGGATGTGCGATGGCAGGAGGTAAGGTTTCTGCAGGGTGGGCCGGTTGCGCCGGTTGCGGCCCAGGCAATCCGCCAGAACTCCCCGCGGAGGTTACCGCTTGTGCAGCCGGTGCTTCCTCGCTTTGGATGTCTCGGGCTTGGCTCGCCCATTGCGCCGCCGCGGAAGGCCGCGCGCTCGCCCAGGGCCTCGCAGCCGTTACCGCTTGCGCAGGCGCTTGTGCCACCGCCGGCGCCACAGGCGGTGAGGCTGACGTTCCGGCAGCAGCAGCGGCACCTGCCGCGGCGGCGGAAGGCGCCGGAGCCTCTCCTTGCGAGGCCACTGCACCTCGCGGCTCCTCGGCCCCTGGCACCGCATTCGTCGCTCTGGAAGCCCAGGTCTGGTCCAAGTTCCTTTGGGCGTCTTGGACGAGTTCCAAGGTGCGTTGGGCATCCTCCGTGTTCGATTCCGCCTGCTGGTCACCAAACACGAAGTTGGGATGCTGAAAACTAAAGCCTGCCAGTTGGAGCAGCTTTGCCGCAGCACTGTTGTTCCGGAAGATCTCGCTGAATCGAGAGCTGGAAGTGTTCACTTTCCGGTTCTTCTCAGAGCTGGGATCTTTCAGCAAGTTCAGGAGGACCATCGCAAGAGTGCTGAGTGACTTGGCAGCCTCCGCCTTGCTGTTGCTTTCCTGAGGAGATGCAGAGAACGGCACGCAAGGCACGCAGAATTTTAGGGGGGGAACCTCCCGGCGAGTCAGCCAGGGTGCTGCCACCAGCTGCTGCAAACAGCCATTCGTGGCATCAAAGAAGTCGCGAACGGAGCGTGGCTGACGAGGTGCCGGTGATGCCGGGCCTGTGGCGACTGCAAGAAACAGCAACCAGCAAGCCTGAGTTAGTTTCTGGACCTGACGGGCTCGAACACTTGGTCGCCAATGCAGGTGCACTTGCGACAGCGTGCAGTGACCTGACAACACAGTGACTGTCGAAGGCTCGGAGATGAACGCGAGGTTGGTCTGAGGCTCATGCTTGTTGCTCGTCCCGTCGGACCTTGTCTGAAAATGGCTTGGGTTCGGTGTGCCATCATGGCTCTCGCCAGCATGGAGATCCACTGCCAGCTTCGATGACAAGGGTGATGCGCAGCTTTTTTGTCAAGCATGCCGTTCTCTCAGGCTGCTGGTAGCTGTTCTCCGCAATCACATGCCGCCTAACACAGTCTTTGCACGAATCAAGCTTTCCTTAGTGGTCAAGATTCGATCATTTTTGACCGCCTCTGGGCTCCCTGACGGCAGAGCACCAAAGCAACCAAGCAGCCTTCTCTTCAGTGCGCGCTTGTGCACGCAAGTCGAAATTCTTCAAGAGCCAGTCACACTCCTGGCGACTGAAACTGCACTTGCAGAAGAATTTCCCGACAGCTCATCTGCAGAGTACAGTGTCCGCATTTCAGCTCTCAACTTGTCTCTCTCTCTCGAGACATGTCTGACGGCCGAGGGTTTAACGACTAAGAGATGTCCCGATATCCCAAAGACATTTCAAAGGGTCCTGGTGCAAGTCAGCTGTGTACTGCTGTGTGGCGGCCAACTGCTTCTTCTTGCCATCCACGTCTTTCCTCATGCTTGCAACAACACCGAAGTCTTTGCTGTGCGTGTGCACGCACGAATTGGGCGCGTCTGAGCAGGTAAGAGCATATCGATTGCAATCATTCTGGGCAGTTGCTTCGGAGTCTGAATTTCTGGACACATCACGGCATGGTAGCGCCACGCATTGCTACTGCTTCTACAAGTAATTAACATTAAGATGTTGGTATCTTTCATGTCCACTGAGCAAAGTAACATACTACGGCGAGACTGGATGAACGCTCCACAGAGGTCCTCCTGAAACCGTTTCTGAGGCGTGGCAGTTGTTGCATGAAAGCCATGATGGGGCAGGCAGGCCTCTTCAAAAAGTTCGACAAGGACTCTCAACAAGAAGCCGATGAAGATGATGCAAGGGAGCCTCGCTTAGGGGGGAACCCAGCTACATCCTCCAGCGGCGAGGTCACCGCTGAATCTAATCATATCTCTCAGAGCCCAGGGGGACCCGTGCATGTATGCTCTGGAGACCGGTGCTGGCTGTCCTGATGGAATGGACATCGCCCCTCGTGCTTTAGGGCCGGAAGGCTCTTCGAGTAAAGCGCGTGCGAGATGTGTCAACGCATGTTCCTGCAAGTGTCTTCGTCTGGAATTTAAAGCTGTCTTTGCAGACATGTCTTCGAAACATCCTTCTGAAGCCCCGTCAAGGACTCATGTATAATCAACGGTAGCACATCGGCACAGCTAAATTTCCTGCGTAACCCCAATTTCGCTTGTCTGGGATGGGCTTTGGCAGCCCTGAAAATTATTTATGGATCCGGGCTGTTTTTGTGCATCCATGTGAATGCAACACCAAGCAGCAATCACTCACTCTTTTTCTCCCGCGATCATGTGGAATGTGAACAGTGGTAACAAGAAAAATGCGACACTGACACTGGCAGCTCAGACGATGGTGGCCTGCAGGAGCAGGCAGAAACCAAAATCTGGCGTGACACTCTGACAATGGAAGCATTTGACACTCATTCTGTGTGGCCAGTACAATAACACACCCAATGCGCACCCCGCCATGCCTGCTCAAAGTTGACACTGATTTCCAGCTGGTAGGCCTGACATAATAGAAACACGTGACACTCATTCTGTGTGGCCAGTACAATAACGCACCCAAGACGCACCCCTCCATGCCTGCTCCAAGTTGACACTGATCTCCAAGACGAAGGCCTGCCATAGTGGATGCATTTGACACTCATTCTGTGTGGCCAGTACAATAACGCACCCAATACGCACCCCTGCCTGCCTTGTCACAGTTGACACTGATCTCCAGCTGGTAGGTGTGTCAACTTTGAGCACGCATGGAGGGTGCCTACTGGGTCCCAACACACACCCTCCATGCCTGCTCAAAGTTGACACTGATGTCCAGCTGGTAAGCCTGACATTAAGGAGCAATTGACACTCATTCTGTGTGGCCAGTACAATAACGCACCCAATACGCAAACCTGCCTGCCTTCTCCAAGTTGACACTGATGTCCAGGAGGAGGACCTGACTTTAATGGATTGACACTCATCGACATCCACTGCACCGTAACTGCTTGTCGACATGGTGACACTTGGCAGAGGAATCATCAACCAAAACAGAGTAGCACCAGCCAGGCGGCGAGCGGCTCATTCAGACCTTGATCTTCGAGCAGCTTGACGGTCTGTCAAACTGCTCGAGGAGCAAGGTCTGAGAGAGCCAGCTGACACTTCATTCCATGACAAAGCAGACGGTAAGCCTGACATAACGGAATCACTTGACACTCGTTCTGTGTGGCCAGTACACTAACGCACCGAACACGCACCCCTCCATCCGTGCCTTCTCTAAGTTGACACTGATGCCCAGGAGGAAGACCTGACTTTAGTGAACTGTCGTCGACATGGTGACACTTGGCAAACTTAAAGGTATCATCAACCAAAACAGAGTCATAGCACCAGCCATGCGGCGAGCGGCTCATTCAGACCTTGACCACTCGAGCAGCTGGACGGTCTGTCCAACTGCTCGACGAGTCAAGGTCTGAGCGAGCCAGCTGACACTTCATTCCATGACAAAGCGAATGGTAAGCCTGACATAATGGAAACATGTGACAATCATTCTGTGTGGCCAGTACAATAACGCACCCAATTCGCACCCCTCCATGCCTGCTCCAAGTTGACACTGATTTCCAGCTGGTAGGCCTGACATAATGGAAGCATGTGACACTCATTCTGTGTGGCCAGTACAATAACGCACCCAATTCGCACCCCTCCATGCCTGCTCCAAGTTGACACTGATTTCCAGCTGGTAGGCCTGACATAATGGAAGCATGTGACACTCATTCTGTGTGGCCAGTACAATAACACACCCAATGCGCACCCCTCCATGCCTGCTCAAAGTTGACACTGATTTCCAGCTGGTAGGCCTGACATAATAGAAACACGTGACACTCATTCTGTGTGGCCAGTACAATAACGCACCCAAGACGCACCCCTCCATGCCTGCTCCAAGTTGACACTGATCTCCAAGACGAAGGCCTGCCATAGTGGATGCATTTGACACTCATTCTGTGTGGCCAGTACAATAACGCACCCAATACGCACCCCTGCCTGCCTTGTCACAGTTGACACTGATCTCCAGCTGGTAGGTGTGTCAACTTTGAGCACGCATGGAGGGGGCCTATTGGGTCCCAACACACACCCTCCATGCCTGCTCAAAGTTGACACTGATGTCCAGCTGGTAAGCCTGACATTAAGGAGCAATTGACCGGCCAGGACAATAACGCACCCAATACGCAAACCTGCCTGCCTTCTCCAAGTTGACACTGATGTCCAGGAGGAGGACCTGACTTTAATGGATTGACACTCATCGACATCCACTGCACCGTAACTGCTTGTCGACATGGTGACACTTGGCAGAGGAATCATCAACCAAAACAGAGTAGCACCAGCCAGGCGGCGAGCGGCTCATTCAGACCTTGACCACTCGAGCAGCTGGACGGTCTGTCAAACTGCTCGAGGAGTCAAGGTCTGAGAGAGCCAGCTGACACTTCATTCCATGACAAAGCAGACGGTAAGCCTGACATAACGGAATCACTTGACACTCGTTCTGTGTGGCCAGTACACTAACGCACCGAACACGCACCCCTCCATCCGTGCCTTCTCTAAGTTGACACTGATGCCCAGGAGGAAGACCTGACTTTAGTGAACTGTCGTCGACATGGTGACACTTGGCAAACTTAAAGGTATCATCAACCAAAACAGAGTCATAGCACCAGCCAAGCGGCGAGCGGCTCATTCAGACCTTGACAGCTCGAGCAGCTTAACGGTCTGTCAAACTGCTCGAGCTGTCAAGGTCTGAGCGAGCCAGCTGACACTTCAGCCATGACAAAGCGAATGGTAAGCCTGACATAATGGAAACATGTGACACTCATTCTGTGTGGCCAGTACAATAACGCACCCAATTCGCACCCCTCCATGCCTGCTCCAAGTTGACACTGATTTCCACCTGATAGGCCTGACATAATGGAAGCATGTGACACTCGTCATTCTGTGTGGCCAGTACAATAACGCACCCAATTCGCACCCTCCATGCCTGCTCCAAGTTGACACTGATTTCCAGCTGGTAGGCCTGACATAATGGAAGCGTGTGACACTCATTCTGTGTGGCCAGTACAATAACGCACCCAATTCGCACCCCTCCATGCCTGCTCCAAGTTGACACTGATTTCCAGCTGGTAGGCCTGACATAATGGAAGCATGTGACACTCATTCTGTGTGGCCAGTACAATAACGCACCCAATTCGCACCCCTCCATGCCTGCTCCAAGTTGACACTGATTTCCAGCTGGTAGGCCTGACATAATGGAAGCATGTGACATCATTCTGTGTGGCCAGTACAATAACGCACCCAATTCGCACCCCTCCATGCCTGCTCCAAGTTGACACTGATTTCCAGCTGGTAGGCCTGACATAATGGAAGCATGTGACACTCATTCTGTGTGGCCAGTACAATAACGCACCCAATTCGCACCCCTCCATGCCTGCTTCAAGTTGACACTGATTTCCAGCTGATAGGCCTGACATAATAGAAGCATGTGACACTCATTCTGTGTGGCCAGTACAATAACGCACCCAATTCGCACCCCTCCATGCCTGCTCCAAGTTGACACCGATTTCCAGCTGGTAGGCCTGACATAGTGGACGCATGTGACACTCATTCTGTGTGGCCAGTACAATAACGCACCCAATTCGCACACCTCCATGCCTGCTCCAAGTTGACACTGATCTCCAGCTGGTAGGCCTGACAGAATGGAAGCATGTGACACTCATTCTGTGTGGCCAGTACAATAACGCACCCAATTCGCACCCCTCCATGCCTGCTCCAAGTT